CTTTTTGGGGGAAAAAATGTCTGAGAATTTACAGATGAGAAATAAATGAGTTTCAGTGTAGTCTATGACAACTACCAACATATTAACCATTTAGAAAATCAATCCTCATGGAATCAAACCCAAATCCTTCAAAGTGTTAATTCATCCAGAAATGAAACATGCGTCATCAATATTTCTTCACCGTCATGTTGTTCCAAACCTGTGTGACTTTCTTTCCTCTGTGAAACACAAAAGATATTTTGAAGGAAGCTGGTTTTCTGAGACATTGTTTCACAGAAGAAAAGCAGTAATACAGGTCTGAAAAGACATGCGAGTAAATAACAGAATATTCATTTTTGGGTAAACCAACCTTTTATGAATCAAATATTGTAGGAAGGTTTTCAATTTATTTTTATCCAATAGATTCTTAAATGACTCTTGCTTGATCCCATTTAATATGAAACAGAAAATGAAAAAAGAAACATCCCTTTTTAAGGATATTGTATTTTAAAGATAATTTTGTAAAATACAAATATTGTGATCATAAATGTGTGGAACATCAGACTGCCACATTAAACCAGCTGAAGTACAAGATTCAACCACACTCAACAAGTTTAGGCCGTTTTATTTTATTTATTTTCAACAGGGGTACTTGCATTAAATCCAAAACACATTACAAAACTTTGAACATACAGCATCAAGTACATCTAAATCCAAACACCAGGCACGTGCACACATACACATCAAAGGGGGCTTGAGCACCTGCCCTTTTTCTTCCTCGAGAGAAAGTGCCCTTTTTTCTGGGGAATGTTTTTTTTTTTAATAAATGAATATATGTATATATGTGTGCGTGCGTGTTTCTGTTTGCGCACAGCTTTCCCTGTCAAACAAATAAAAAATCAAAATATCAGGTGGGGTCAGGAAATGTTGAGAAATGCTCCGCGTCTCCGCGCAGCACAGCAGTGTAGCACACATTGATCGGCACATGCACATCACAGTCACAGACAGGCAGAGAGCCACAGAAGTGAAGTCCGACCTGGTCTCCCTCCCTTTCCAGTTGTGTTTGTCTTGCTGTGGAGGTGAGTGGTGATGAACAACAGACTAAGCTACCTGTGCCTCGAATTTACAGCTAATTACCCAAAAGACAAAAGTCAATTATAGTTAATTTGTCTTGCTAACATCCATGACTCATGAGAGCTACCATGTAAGTTAGCTAAAGTTTAGCTAAGGCAATAGGAAGTCTAGTAGTTTAGACCAGTGCGCGTTCTTTCACTGCATGATTCAGTTTATTAAAACGCATTTAGAATGATCACAAAATTCAAGATATGGGGGTAGAAATGTATATATTTATATCATTTCATATAGTTAATCAGTATCACGCGAAGAATGATGTTTTTACCACCAAAAAGCAGCATGATTACAAATGAGATATTGATTTTATACAGCAGTTCAAAAAACAAGAATTTAATATTAAGACACTTACGTTTTAGACACAATATTGACTGTTTTTGCTCTATTTCGCCAACAAATATAATTCTAATTTGTGTCTCTGAGCAACATGACGCTGTTTTGTTCCTGAATGAATCAACCGTTTAAATGATTCGGTTCAGTTGCAATGACTCGCTTATTTACAGTGGCTTGCTGCCACCTACTGGCGGTTTTAATTTCACATTTAAAGTATCTTTTCATTTAAAAAAAATATATCAATATTCAACATTTTATGTTTAAAATATCAAAACAGTATTAATGCATTTGTAACTGCAGGTTAAATGCATTCATGTCCTGCATTAAACAGTGTGTAAATGCATCTAAATGCCCCTTCTAATGCAGCTTCTGTGTTTTTTCTGCATTGCAAAGATTAATTTAGTCAATACTGATTTCATTTGCTTGGTAACAGCCCAAATTACTTATTATTCAAATTGACTGATTCAATTTAAGAATTTGACTGAAAAGATGATGCACACTTTAGAAATGGCTTTATGAAGGTAAAAATGCCCATAAAAGGTACAAAAAAAATCAATTTAAACTTATTTGAAAAGATTAATTTCTATCACTGCTGTGAACTGATCACCACACAGAATATCAAAAACTGTAGGAGTCAGCTGTCCACGGTAGTCCTTAAGATATCAGCACAATAACACACTCAGCAAAATATAGTCTAATTATCGTTATCGATAAAATCCCAGAAAATATTGAGATGTAATATTCTAATATATTTAACATTTTGTTTAGAAAAAAATGTAAATATGAGAAGTGCCCTTTTTTCCACTTGAGCCCCTGCCCCTCAACTTTTTTTCTACTTGAGCCCCTGCCCCTCAAAATGTCTGTGCACGTCCCTGCCAAACACACACATACACTCGACAAAGTACTGAACTACTACCTAAAAAAAAAAAACGGAAAGTCATTTAACATGATTATTTGACATGTTACACTTGAACAAATTGAGATATTAAAAGGTCCATTTAAGTGAATTTCTTCCTTCTGCAAAATATTCTGACTTCCAGTAATGGGAACCGAAACTGTTTGGTTACCAATATTCTTCAAAATAACTTTTCGTTGAGTAAATAATCATTGTTGAGTGGACTATCCGTCTAATCAGTTTTTCTATGTCACACAGATCTTCTTTACGCACCAAGAGCTTGTAACACTCCAAAGAGAAAGGAAAAATTGAAATCGCATCATATGACCCTTTTAAATTAAATGATCTGTTAGTGTGACAAAATCAGAGCATTATTGTTATTAGGGGCAAAGGAACCTATTGTCTCTTTTAGTTTTCTTCTTCTTCCGCTCTGAAAGTCTATGGCATGGCATCCCATAGAACCACTTGCAGGAAAGTTATGAATTTTGGCACACAAATAGAAGACAGTCTCAAGATTAATCATAGCAAATGTGGAGTCTCTATCTCAAACTCTCTTGTGCCACCAACAGGCCAAATTTGCGCTCACATTTCTGCTAATAACTTTTTAACTGTAAGTTCTGGAAGCAAAATCCTCTGATTCCTTTGCTCATGCAGAGACGAATACATACCAAAACATACATTTCTACGGGTAATTTCTGATAGACCAAACTGATCTCATAAAGCTCGTTAATGAATCTGACAAAATTCATTTAAAAATGGACATGAGACTATATCTTTGCAATGTTTTAGTGGATTGTGACCAAACTTTGTACTCGTTATACCAAGCATGACCTGAGGGCACATGAGTAGTTTTGGCACAGCACCACCTACTGGTCAAAATTGAAATTTTTTGTTTGTAACTTCTAAACAGTTCGACCAAATATCATAAGATTAATCTTGTTAGATTTGGAGTGGCATACCGAATCAAACGACACCCAATTTCACTATGTCAGCCACCTTGAGCATGGACCATTTCAAATTTTGTAGTAAAATGCTGTATTTTACAAAAGCTTTAGCGTATTTTTATGAATTTTATGAATCTTGTACAACCGCTTGCAGGAAAGCTATGACATTTTTTAGTGCACAGATAGAGGACAGTCTCATCATTAATCACAGCAAATTTTGGTATTTCTAACTCTCTAGTGCTTAGGGTGACCATACGGCCATTTTTACGGGACACGTCCTTTCCAGGATTTCTATATTGCCTAAAATATCCAGGTTTTGGCTGTTTGCACTGTGCAGGTCGATTGTAGTATGACATTCACAAGAGCTATAGAGAGCAGAGCAGATGGCTCCTTATGCTTTCGATTCGCTCTTGCGGTACTTTGGTGTCGTACAATGATCGTCTGTGCAGTGCCGCTTCAAGTCGAACGAACGAACAAACACGTGCAAGTATTTGCATTGCTTTGATCGTTCTCTGTAGATCTCACCTTCTCACATGCCACGATTGGTCGATTATGTTCAATACCTGCATGTTATTGGTCAAACTACTTCGGATGTTTTAGGCAATATACAAATCCTGGCGAGGATGTGTCCCGTATAAATGGCACATATGGCCACCCTACTAGTTCTACCAACAGGCCAAATTTGCACTCATGTTTCTGCTAATAACTTTTGAACCGTAAGGTCTAAAAGCAAAATTATTTTTTTCTCCCTCTGATTCCTTGGCTCATACAGAAACAAATGCATACCAAAAATTGAATTTCTACAGGTCAGGATTTTTAATGTAATTCTGAGTTTTCTGAAGAATTTTTTTTTTTTTCACACTCATCCCCGACTGTTTGTCCAATTTTCACTAAAATTGGCTCAGATCATCTTCAGAGCATTCTCAAAAACATTTTGATATACCAAACCATTTTTGTAAAAATGCATTAAAGTTGAGTAAGTTTGAGCAAAAACGGACATGAGGCTTTATCTCTGGAAAGCTTTAGCGGATTCTGACCAAACTTGGTATGTTTTATAACAAACATGACCTGAGTAGTTTCAGCACAGCGCCACTTACTGGTCAAAATATGTATTTTTTAAATTGACATTTCTGCTTATAACTTCTAACCGGTTTGGCCAAATCATGAGATTTCGGAACGGCATACCGAATAGAAAAATTATTTTCCTATGTTCCTTTTTGGGGCGTCACCCATTTCGAGTTTTGTAACAATATGCTGTATCAACAAATGTCTTTAACAGGGTTCTCCAGCACTGCTCCTGGAGAGCTACCATACTGCAGAGTTCAGCTCTAACCCTAATCAAACTCACCTGAACCAGCTAATCAATGTGGTCAGGGCTACTTAATTACAGACAGGTGTGTTGAAGCAGGGTTGGAACTGAAGTCTGCAGGAAGGTACAGGAGCAGGGTTGGAGATCCCTGGTCTTTACGGAGTAATTAAAGACGGCACCTTAGCTCTTCATTTAACCTCTGTTGTGCTTATTATTTTTATTATTATTTTTTTTTTACAGTGCCCTTTGCACGCCAATAGTCCGAAACAGTTCATTTACCCATCTTGCTCTCTTAAATATTTAAAAAACTAAAAGCATGTTACTAACAGGAATGGGTCAAACAAAAGAAAACATATATTATTCATTCTATTTACACAACAGAAACTAGATCACTGTTTAAAGAGATGAGAAAATGTTTTATTTTTTCAGAAAGATAAAATATATTATGTTCACATAATTTAAGATGCAGTTTTAACAAAACAATTTTGTACAAAAAGGAGTTATTCGGTGTAGAAAAATAGATTATAAATACATTTTATAAATAAAACATGAATTTTAATAAATTATGATGAAATTAGTGGGGATAGGGGAAGAGTCTTTTTAAAGTAGATCCAAGAACTAAGAGTAGAAATTAGCAGCCATTTTCCTATGTCTATTGGGAACTCCAGTGAAAGGTTGAGCAGGAGCTGCAGCTGCAGCGTGAAGTGAAGCCCTTTGCTTCAAGTCTATCTCCATGTCATAACATGCTGCCGCTAGTCTTAACTGCCCTTCTTCAGTGGGTTCAGTGATTTTCTCTCTATCGCCGTTGGGATGAAACCATCTGTAATATATAGTTTTCACTAGTATTCCAATGACATACAAGCCTAGTAGTGTCGGGATCACTTTATAAGGATTTAAGGAGCTCCAGCAGCCTGCATACTCAAACACCTTCCAGCACCAGAAGCCCAGCAGCATCACTGTGTCCAAAGCCATGAAACTATAATAGAGAATCGTCTTTGATTTGATGTTTCCTGTTGATATGTTAAACCAGCAGAAGTACCAGATGAGTCCAACAGCAGCTCTGTAGAGCCATTCCCAACCACGATGTTCCATGTAATCTGTTTTCTGGCTCCAGGCGACTAAAACCAGCAGCATCCACAAGGACAGGAAGTGAGTTATGATGTAGCATGGCAATACACTGCAGAAGAGTGCCAGAGCAGTTACACGGGGAATAATCACCAACAAGTTCCACAGGAAGTAGACACCAGTGGAGATCAGGCTCATCTTGTGTTTTTCAGGAAGAAAGGCACGCATGCAACGATGGTACATAGCAACGCTACTGGCAATTGCAGCAGCTGATGTGAGGATTTTTAAACCTGAAACAAAAAACCATTGCATGTTATAAAACAATATCACATGTTGCAATAGTGCTGTCCTTCAGAATAATCACAGCTAGCGATGGGTGTTTTCGAAACTCTGCTTTGTGAAGCTTTGAAACCTTTGATTCAATTGAAATGAATCATTTGTTTTGAACCAGTGATTCGGAGTGTGAATCTGCCAAAATCATGTCTGTACGTATTTTGGCAAACTGCCAAATGAAGCAGTAAATGAGTTTTGAAATGTTTCTGAACGAGTGTTTATATTTCACCTGATCTCAGATCAGTTTTAATTGTAGCCATTTTTCAGAGCTATTACTAGTCTTATTGTTCTGATTAACCAAGCTCTCTATAAAACAAACAAAACAAATTAATTTCTTTCATGACAACTCTTGGAGAGTTTATCATGGTAATATACATTAGAGGTCTGCATTCCTGCGGCTCTCCCGTGGGAACCGCGGGACCCGACCGGATTTTTTGCCCGAATAAAACGCGGTAGCGGTCGGTAGCTCTGGTGTAATTTGAACGGGAGTGGGCGGTCTAACAACATCCCGTTCCCGACGTCCATTTAGAACAGCATATCTGCACTTTATTCTTATTGACCACCGGTACAGCCTGCTCTCAGGACTGTTATGCACGCGCTGCATGCATGCTTTAAACGTCACGCATTTTATTTGCGTGGTCTGTGCGCAGCATGAGCATAACGATGCTCAGAGCAGGCTGTACCGGTGGTAAATATACGGCCCTCAGACAGCTCGGTTTTGTTTATATTTTGCTTATAATTTTAAATGAAAGATGTCGTATTTATTTATTTTTCTCTGCGACACTTTTCCTACTGTGTTAACAGAAAAATGTCAAACGAATTTAGTATTTTGACAAGACGAAATAGCTAATAGGCTATTTTTGTACAACCTACATTTTTATTTTTTTTCTCTCTGCGACACTTTTTCCTTATTGTGTTGTCAATGTTAAACGAATTGTATCCGGACAAGACAAATAAAAATAAGAAATACAATTTCTGTACAAAATTTTTTATTTTCTCTGACACTTTTTTCCTACTGTGTTGCATAAAATATTAAACAAATTTTGTGTCTTAAGATAATTCATATAAATTCAAGTCAAAGTCAATAAATTCAAGACTCTTGACAAGACTAATAAAATAACACAATTTTGTGCAGACTACATTTTTATTTGTCAGCCTATCTCTCTTTCTTTCAGTAGCGGAAATTTAAATGTGAGATTCTGGAAACGAGATCTAAATTTAGCGGGAACGGTCGGGAAGAAAATTATTCTAAGCGGACAGCGGGTGAACAAAGAGTGAATATATAGCGGGAGCGGGTGGGTGTGGAATAGAACCTTGCGGGAGCGGGACTAAAAAAAAACAGTCCCGCGCAGACCTCTAATATACATGGCAATGTTAATGTGTTTGGTCTTGGCGGAATAGATGTGCTACACTGCTGTGGCAGAATAAGAACCAAGACTTGCTACTGCCAATACATCCACAGACATGTAGGAAATACTGCTGCTGTACATTTAACATATGAAATAACCCCCATATATAACATACATTAAATTACCCTGTAGCAGATCTATACAGGTCGAGCTGGGGGAGGTGGAGGGTTTCTTAAAGGGATAGTTCACCCAAAAATGAAAATGTGATGTTTATCTGCTTACCCCCAGGGCATCCAAGATGTAGGTGACTTTGTTTCTTTAGTAGAACACAAACAAAGATTTTTAACTCAAGCCGTGGCGTTGCAGTCTGTCAGTCTTATAATGGAAGTGAATGGGAATCACGGCTTTGAGAGTAAAAAAAAAAAAACATACACAAATTAAACCTGACAGACTGCAACGGTTTGAGTTAAAAATCTTCGTTTGTGTTCTACTGAAGAAACAAAGTTACCTACATCTTGGATGCCCTGGGGGTAAGCAGATAAACATAAAATTTTCATTTTTGGGTGAACTATCCCTTTAACTGCGCTGCAACTGCTACAGCAAGCACTATCCAAGTATTTGAATGTTGAGCAGCGAGCTCATTGGCTGCTGATGCGAAAAGAAACCAATCGGTTGCACCATGTGAATAATGATGTAATTATATGAGATTGGCCTGCACCATCTAGAGTTTCATGACAGAACTTTCTATAAAATAATATTATAAAGATATAATATATGGTATTATAGGATTATAACATTGTATTATTTGTTAATTGCATTTAATAGATTGCACTATCAATAAAACATTTGAAACTGGTTAAAAAGTTGTATGTTTGAGCTGAATTTTTGTGTGGTGTTTTGCTGCTTCGAAAAAGTGAATCATTTTGTGAAGCTTCAATTAATTCAAAGTTCTGAAAAGCTTTATTTCTCCATCACTAGAGATTCTGAGCAACACAGTAGTGCCATTGTTCGATGTTTGGAATGAATTGGTTGAGTGAATAAACCAAATGACTCACAAAGATAGTCAATTGATGACAGAATTTTCCATTATGGGTTAATTATCGCTTTAAGTGGTTTAGAGACACATAAGAATTATGATATGAAAAAAAGTAGGTGCTCTGGATCTGAGACAGACCTGTAGTAAGCTCCAGCTCTCCTCTCTGTAGGATTATAGACATCATGAGTGTGAGTTGTGGGGCGCTTTCAGAAAATGTCTCAAATAGACGAAGCATCTGAAGATCATGGTTCAGGTACACAGCTACACCCTCTGTGAAACTGTTAGTGTGCCGAAGAAAATGTGTTGTGGAAATCTCTATCACCCCAGCATACCTGTGAACACAAGGTGACAATACAACAAAAAAATTCAATAAACAACAGTGAGGCCACAGTTTATTTAGACGTGGAAACAGTTTGAGTCCTGTTCCTATACCAGTTCTCAATCACATCTGTTGAGTTTGTTTTTAAATGATAACCCAAATTAGTTGTTCGCACTAGGGATAAGGAAAATAGCTCTATTTAATTTTGAATTCATGTTGATATTGAAGGGACAGTTCACCAAAAAATAAAAGTTCCACCATCATTTACTCACCCTCATGCCATTCCAAACCTATAAGTGTCATGAAATACAAATGTTTTTTTTTTTTTGGATACGAGAACAAAGATGAAACATGTTTGTGTGACACAAGAGAAGCAAACTCATTGGTTCTCCTACATCAAGCATGCATATTTGAGCTTCCAATTGCCATATTTGATTATAACTACGCATATTGATCAATGTTTATATGTGAATAAAAGCCTAAATTCAATCTGATCATCATATACAGTGATTGTGTCTCTTAAGAAAGAATTGATTAAACTCAATTCATATAGATTATGTTTACAATGTCTTTATGAACATACTGACGTATCAAAGTTTTGGGTGAAAGGTTTCATTAAAAATATCATCATTTGTGCTTTGAAGATGAACAAAAGTGTTTAGACATGAGTGAGTTTGGGTGAACGATGCCTTCAAGTGCTCATAAATTTATCTCATTTAGCATTGCTCTTGTGAAATAGAAGTGTGCTTAATTGTACTGAATGTGCACTTGCATTGTACAATAATTAAAATCTTAAAGGTTAGCCATATTTCAAATACATATAAAGACTTAGTGGGCCAAAAAGTGCTCTAGTTCAACTAACTGCATTTACAGGGTTTTTTGTGGGGAGGAGGGGGAGGGGGTTCAATTGCTTTGGCACATTTTTTGAAACGGTCTCAACATTCTTTAAGCTGTAAGTGTATTTGTCACAACTGTTTGCTGTAACATCAGAACATGATTGCATGTCTGCAAAATGTACTAACTCATCCAAAATATTTAATTCATGCTTCAAAACCTAGTTATTGTGTTAGTGACTTGACCAATGCCACCAAAATAAAAACTAGATTTTTTTTTTGATCATAGAAATGTTACATGCAAATTTCATTTCATGTCCAAATGTAATTGTGTTATATGCAATTTCATTTCAGATTTGTTATATGCACATTTTTTCTACTTCTTTGTTGACAGACTGCTTTCTATACTATAAAAGAATGTCACTTTTGTTTGTGTATCACTTAGCATTTTAAATGGCATATTTCAACAGTAGATAAAAATATATTGGGAAAAATCAATACTGTAGTACACAAAAAGAACATTTTTATTCATACAGTACATTTTATGTAGAAATGTGTTATATGTAAACTATTCACCATTGCCTATTCATTTTACACACTTTATTGTTGTACCCCTACACCAACACCCCACATTCTTCATATTGCTCTTCCACAACAAGCATCTGTGAATTTTCAGTGTACCACTTATTTCTACAGATAAATGTACTGTATAAATATATATGTATAGCTGTTGCTGTTTAGGGTTGTGACATTCCTCGTTGTTCAAAAATGGTAGTGATTGTGCTAGACAAACTCCATATATATGCTTCCAAACTTGGCTGATTGGCAAGACTGTGATTCTGTTTCATTACAATGGCAAGTAGGGTTGCAAAGGGATGGACATTTTCCGGATTATTTTCCCACGGAAATGTACTACATATTTCCAAAAGTTTCCAAAAATCCTGGGTAAGCTTCCAAACATTTTGGAAATGTTCTGCCCCTTTTCAACCCTAATGGCAAGCAATTTGCCAACTTAGCAGATATTAAAACCATTCCATGTCAGATATTTATGGAATATATTAGACACACGTCTGACAGATTTTGATAATTGAATGGATCATTTTGCATGTGATGGCTCACACAATGAAAGAATGTTTACAAGTTTTGAAGAGTTTGACAGTTTCACTGTGAATCAACTCATCAGTTTTGATCAACAAACCATATGTATCTAGTTATTGTGTATTCTTTTTCACAAGAGTATTCAAGGAAAATTGAGAAGCAAATCTGTCACAGACCTGAGGTAGACTCCGAGCTGCAGGAAGTGGAATGGTTTGATCAATAAATGCCTCTTTGCAAATGTCTCCACCTTAGTCTCAATCTTCTCCAGGGAATCAGAGTACCAGATCCAGCTGAACACCTGTAACAACACTGAAGAGCCCAGCAGCAGAAAGATCATCACTGCCATATACACATAGGCCCCATCCTGATAAAATGACACAACAGTCCAAATGTCCAGCGCTATATCCAGCAGGAACAATAACAGTCCCACCAAAGTAAACAGGTATTCCAATAAAGTGTAATGAAACGGGAAGCTCTCCTCCATGATTCCCAGTGTGAGAAACCTTACAGCATGATAATAAAAAGACAAAAACCTCCTTTTGCCATGGATATATACATACACACTGTTAAAAAGATCTGAAACAGAAAGTAAACTTTAGACTCGCTCATAACTCCTCCCAAGTCACCTCTTTTAATGATTAGTCAGGTGTCAGAATGTAGTGAGTGATGTCACTTAAACGCATTGGTTCAAAGTAGGAAATGCCCACTGATCTATAATAGAGATCAGTGAAAAAGCCAAATATTTGCTCACTAGGTTTAATTTATAAATCTAAAATCCAATATTCTGAAAAAAAGAAAGCCCAAGTGGTAGGGAACGATTCAGCCAAAAATGAAAACGAATTGCTAAAATGTACCTTGAATGCAGTGTACTTCACTTTGCATAAAACGCACCAAATGCATAAAATGTACAAATGCAAATCTGACATGTTTCTGATAACTTTTGCACAGTAAAACTCAAATGTAAAAACTTGAGTCCTGAAGCAAAGTGGGTGTTCTGAGTGGTTATTTACTGGCCTAAGAGGCACTCCTGTGTCTCTATACGACTTGATCTCAAAACCCTCCTCCAATTTAATGCTATGGTATTTCTTCTTTATTATTGCTCATTATCATCCACCAGGTAGAAATCATCAATAAGTCTTTAGGGAAGTATTATCAAACCTATCCTCAATAAGCTGAACAATATGGGGTCTCATTTATGTCCATGGCACAAATAAGCTATGCACCAAAGTTCGATGCTTAAATTTAACGGCCATAACCTAATGTAAAGTGATGCTTGCCTCAGGCACATATTAAATGCACTAAAAGAGATCTAATGGAATACCAGAAGTGCCAGACATAAGATGCTTAAGCCTACAGTAGCTGGAAAAAGACATTCTCAGCTGCGCTTCTCATCAAGCTTGTAAACAAAATCTGCTGTCAAGTAACCCAACAGGCAGCACATGGCAATAGTTACTTGGAAACAACAAAGAGCACAAACAAACAGGAAAGCACAATACAGGACACTGAATAGTCTGGCTGAGTTTAATACACCAACAAAACGTTCAGTGGAGACCGGTCAAAAAAGGCCCTTATTGCTGAACAGAACAGTGATGCAACATCATAACCCATGATGTATTAGTTTGCATCCACATAGCATGACAAGACACATGTTTGAAGGAGCTAACCAATATCTCCAGACTGGTTATGGCAGGCATTTCCGTATAAATAACATCAAAGTGAAGCTCGAGCCTCAAACACTGAATACATAACTTACCTAAGGGAACATTCACTATTGGGTAATGTTACAATACTACATGAACTTCTAAAAATACCTCAAACATTTGTTTTGACAACAGAGAGTCATTTAATGTAGTGAAAATTAGATTGGAAGTGTAGACCATAAGCATGAACTTTACTCACAGTCCCCTTCAGTTCAGTCCAGATTATAGGAATTTCACAATGTATAATACTCACATAACGCGAGACTAATAATATAGCATTATAGGCTGTTTATGTGCATTTGGATCCAATCTTTTTGGGAAAACATGTCTCTAACGGGTAAATAGCCGAAGTACCATCATACTTTTGTTAAGAAACACTCAAAGGGGTCATATGGTGTTGCTAAAAATAACATTATTTTGTTTCGCATTCACAACGAAACACAGCGTCACACACGGCGGCCTAGAGAGTGAGCAGAGGCCGGAGGGCTAGAGTGAGCAGAGGCGGATTCGACGAAGGAGCGTCCGGAGGGCTTGCGGCAACCACACGTGACGACCCCGGGCTGGACTCCACTTCGTCCACGGTGAAAGCCAATCCGGTGATCCACAGTGCAAAGTTGTTGTATTTCCTCAGCAACCAGCACGGATCAGCTCCAGGCATGACGAAGCAGATATCGTCCTCTTTTGGAAGACCAAACAAAGTAGTTTCGCTTTCACAACGAAACACACAGTGCCTTCACGACATGGCGGCAGCAACAACAAAACTACAGCGAGAATAAAAGTTACGCCTTCTTTCTTTGCGTGAACATTTGGGCGGCGTTATGCAAATCTTCCCACATCGTGACGTAGATATGTTGGGGCGTGTTAGAACGAGGCGTTTTAGGTAGGTGTGGCTGACTCTTACCTTTTATAAAGAATATCTCTTTGGATTTGAGACTTTAGTCTTTGCAACTTTACAGATCTTCTTTATGCACCAAGAGCTTGTAACACTCCAAAGAGAAAGGAAAAATTGAAATCGCATCATATGACCCCTTTAAGGAATGATAATATAATTTAGAATTTAAAATAAATCCTAATGGGATCAGTCCTGAATCAAGGGATAGTTCACCCAAAAATTTAAATCTAGTGTCACCTTTTACTAATCTTGATGTTGTTAAAATTCAGCCTCTATACATTTCTTTGCTCTGTGGAACACATTTTAAAGAAAGCTGGTAACAATAAGACATTTCTCAAAATATCTTCTTTTTTGTTCTGCAAGGGAAAGGAAGTCATACAGCATGAGGGTGAGTTAATGATGGCACAATTTTCATTTTTAGATGCGCGTGCTGTCTACTGAACGTAAACAACGCTGATTACATTGATTATGTTCTGGGGTACTCTCCAAAATGGCGGAAGACGGTAACTCGGGGAGAAGAATTGCTGAATAAATTATGTTATTATTGTTTTCTTTGCGCACAAATAGTGTTCTCGTAGCTTCATAAAATTACGGTTGAACCCCTGATGTCACATGGACTATTTTACCGATGTCCTTACTACGTTTCTGTTTGTTGATCGTGGTAATATCATTGCTGTCTATGGGAGGGTCAGAGAGCTCTCAGATTTCATCAAAAATATCTTAATTTGTGTTCCAAAGATGAACGAAGGTCTTACGGGTTTGAAACGACATGAGGATGAGTAATTAATGACAGAATTTTCATTTTAACTTTAAAGACTTCATATTAACAGTAACATTATTCAAAAACATAATTTGTAACAACACTATGTATAAGAATTTACAAATATAATAACATCTGTAACAGTAAAACAAGCTAAATACCATTGATTTTTACAGTACTGATGCATTAGTTGTTTCACATTCATTTGTTTTAACTGCAGACGAGGTGTTTGTTGTGTAGAAGTTAGCAGCATGTCGGCCCATTCTCTTGTTAATGGTGTGAACAGAAGCACCGTCGGCCTGAACATCCACAGGCGGCTCCACTCCATCCGTTACATCATATGTAGCTTTTCCCAAATCTGCAGGCCACCACAGTTTGGGGTGAAAACAGCAATAGTAGAGAACTTTGATCAACAGGCCCAAGATATAACAAAGCGGGATGGAGAGTATCAGACTGAAGGCGTACGACTGGGTCATCTCTGCATCTCGGTACAACCACCATGTGGTCAACAGGATGCTGGTGTCTGTGATTATAAACATGTGGTAGATCAGACTCCTGTCTCTGGTGTCTCCTTCAGCCACGTTAAACCAACTGAAGTACCAGATGAGCCCTATGGTGGCCCGGTAGAGCCGTTCCCCGGCTGGGCTGTCCATGAAATCGGTGCCCTGCCTCCAGGCCCATATCACAAAGATGGGCCACAGAAGCAGGAAGTGAGCAGCGATGAAGCTGGGCAACACAGAGGCAAAGAGAGCAACCGAAGCCACACGTGGGCCAATCAGAAAGAGGTTCCAGAAGAAGTAGACCACAGATGACAACCAACCTTGCTTGTCCTTGTCAGGCAGAAATGAACGAAGTGACCGATGATAATCCACCACCATCCAGGCTATAGATGTAGTGGAGGTGCCAACACTCACATCTGCAGAACAGAAACATTAGTGTCATATTTCAGTTTCTTTTACTTTCATTTACATCAGTGGTACTCTATGTGAAAACATGAACTGCACAATAACGTTAACAGAAATTAACCTGATCACCCAGCTCTTTATATGAAGTTAGATATATACACAGAACAAACATAGTCTCACGCAGGGTGATATTTCGCAACCGCTTGATTGCTTATATCATTGCAACGATATTAACTATATTATTATAATAACCATATTATTATATGTACACCATATTATCACCCAGCTCTAATCAGTAAAATGTGACTATAAGGCATGAAGATATTAAAATATTATAAACATGAAAATGACGATTTTCTGTAAAGATTATTTGAAATGATGTGTACTTAACTTAATAAAATTAAATATAAATATTATATGAAAAAATTAATTTTTTTAAATAAGTTTAACTACTAAAATGACTAAAACTGACTAAATATATAGCTAAAAATAAATATTTAAAAACAAAAGTTAATTCAAAATATTAATAAATACTATAATAGTATATAAATAAAATAATACTAAAATAGTAGTACAGAAACATAAATAATACTCATAATAATAATTCATTACATTTATATAGCGCTTTTCTAGGCACTCAAAGCGCATTATTTCTAAAGTGACGTGACATGTGGCCAAGTATGGTGACCCATACTCGGAATTAGTGCTCTGCATTTATCCCATCCTAAGTGCACACACACACACACACACACGAGCCACGAGCACTTTTTTATATGTTCTACATTTCATGTATTTATGTAACACATATTCTACATTAAAAAAATAATTTAGAATGAACAATAACTGCTGTACAAAGAGTAACAAAAAAAGAAAGGAGAAAAAAAAGCATATCTAATGCAGAAAAGCCGCCTCTTTTTCCGAATTGCGCAGATGACCACTATCTTTCTTTCATCTCTTCTGATAAATTTTCAGTCAAATCGTTTTCTGTGTGCTAGATCAGAGCTAGAGCCCTGCATTTCAGCCCGTGCCCGATGGGCCCCGACTTTTTTACGCCCCTCGGGCTGGGATTCGGGACCATTTTCACATCATAGTTCAGACGCGGGCCGGGCCTCGGGCCTGTTTTAGGCTTGTCCTTATTTTTATATTTTAGACATCCATCAATTAGTGATGAAAAAAGATCGCCGCGCTGGTGGAAACAACACGAGACCGTGCTACCGAGACTCAAGAGCGGCTCGACGGTGTTTAGTGTCCAGCAGCAGCAGCATGCGTGCCGTCAGCGCAGCTGAACAGTTCTGCGTTCAAATGCACGCAATAGGCTTAAGCGTGCCGCAAAGCATCGGCAAAAGTAATTATAAATGCGTCAGGGGGAAACAGTAAGGAGATATTTTAATTATATTTATCATGTCTGTGAGGCATGTATTCGTTGAGTTTCGGTTCATTTTTGTGAAGCGCTCCTGTTCAACACGGGACGGCAGAAAGCGCATCATGTTTGATTTTATAAAAGCGCAACGTTTTGTTGATATTGTGAGTGCACATCGACAGCCGCGGCACCCCGGTTGGGAAACACTGAATTAGACTATGTGAGTACTGCTCATGTCTGAAAATAATATATGAAAAACAAAATTATTTTACATAAAAACATTAGGCTATAGCTTATATTTATTTCGTACATTTTTAAATTAATGTAAAAACTAAAATGAATTGTAAAACTGAAAGTAATTTTTTAAAATTGTGTTCAGCACGGTGGGCCGCATTTGAATTCGTGACGGGCCGCATGCGGCCCGCGGGTTGAGAACCACTGCTCTAACCATTAGGCCACGACTTCCCCACTTTATATCGTCAGGGGGAATCTCCTCAACCACCACCAATGTGCAGCATCCACCTGGATGATGCGACGGCAGCCATATTGCGCCAGAACGCCCACCACACACCAGCATACTGGTGGAGAGGAGACAGAGTGATGAAGCCAATCAGCAGATATAGGGATTGTTAGGAGGCCATGATCAGGGTTGCCAGGTTCTCAAAACAAAACCTGCCAAATTGCTACTCAAAACTAGCCCAAATGTGTTTTGAGGGGGGTCCCCAGATAAAAATTGCATTCCGGGGGATAAAATACACGGTTTTTAGGGGGGGGGGGGTCCCCTGGTAAAA